AGTCGATTCACGAACGACGAGCTGCTTCACGGACAAGTTGATTCACGGACGATGAGTCGCTTCACGGACCTGAGCTCAGAGGACGAGGCCCTCAGGGGCCCTTGCAGCAAAACCAGGTCTGGTTCTGTTCTGTCAACAGCTGTATCCTCTTTGTGTGTGTGTGTGTGTGTGTGTGTGTGTGTGTGTGTGTGTGTGTGTGTGTGTGTGTTTGTAATATCGTTTCCATTTTAGAATAAACACAAACATAAAATCCTCCTGTGACCAGAACCAACTCAGGATATTTGGACCGGACAGATCAGAACCAGACTGGGAGACACACACACACACACACACACACACACACACACACACAGGAAGAGGCTAATTAGACGTCATCTTAAAGGTTAATGGCTCCTTGAGGTGGCTTGGGGTGAATCAGAACCACACAGGTTCTGTTGGACTCAGAGGTTCTGACCGCCGCCCTCAAGACAGCTTGATTTATTATGAACGGCCTCAGGTGGAGCTGGTCGGGCGACTCTCAGCTACTACCACATGAACTTTAGCTCGTCATGGAAAAGTGACGGATCGATCAGTTTTGGCGGCCATGTTGGACTCATGTTGGACTCATGTTGGACTCATGTTGGACTCATGTTGGACTCCAAAAGTTATCGAGCGACAAATGTTCGCTGAATTTCATGCACTGGTTTGATGTTTTGCTAACAATAAAAACACACAGATGTGCCGCCCCCTTTCCAAAGGTTTATTTATTTATTTTGCTTTCTGATGACGAAATGATTAAGAACGCATTAGTTTTGAGCTTCATGACACAAAAAATAAATTTACTGTCAAACGTGACGACTCGTACAACGTTTAAGATGTCTGTTAGCAAAATATCTCAGGAACCATGGAGCAGATTTTAATGAAAAAAATCAGATATCAATTATTGGATGTGCAGCTATGATTGATTAAATTTGGAGTCAATCAAATCAAAGATGGCCACCACAGCTTAGCAACCTTAGAACCAAATGGCTGTAACTCTGAGTTGAACAGACAGAGCTGAGGTGTAGAGTGGTAGTAGCTGAGAGTCGTCTGCAGGAATCAGACCCACGGCTGCGACTCTTCAGTCTAAACTGTTAAACTGCAGGACGGACGAGTTCTACAACTAGACCTTCACTTTGTGATGAAGAACTCCCATCAGCCCCGGGGGGAAGCGCGTTTGCGCATGTTGCTGTGCACGTTGCTGTGCACGTTGTTGAGCAGGTAGACCCAACAGGTGGGAGCAGATAAACAGATTCAGAGTCAATTTCAATAATTAATCTCAGACGTTTCACTGCCAGCAGCTCATCCACCTCCAAACACACACGCATGCACACACACACACACACACACACACACACACACACACACACACACACGCGCACACACACACACACACACGCATGCACACACCCACACACACACGCATGCACACACACACACACACACACACGCACACACACACACACACACACGCACAGCGTTTCTGTTACCAGAGGAGCCGTCATCAGACGACTTCACATGCAGTGAAGAAGGTGATCAGAACCAGAACCACGCAGGTGAGCCGGACTGGGCCGGACCAGGCCAGACCGGGCTGGACTGGGCCAGACTGAGCCGGGCCGGACCCACCTGAGCGGCTGATGATCCTGACGTGAAGCAGGAAATTACATTTTTAAATAGCTCAAAGATAAAACACTCACTCACCGTCTCCGTCTCCGGAACCAGAACCAGGATCTGTGGACACAAGAGACACAGTAGAGGTCAGAACCTGGGCTCGTCTGGAGCTGAGAACCTGCAGGTCCGGACAGAACCGAGGCAGAAACTCAGGAAGAGTGTTCGGACTGAGTGGCTCTGCAGCTCCATCAGGAGGTGCAGAAACCTGCTCTGGTTCTTTCAAATTAAGGAATGGACCCTCGTTTGGATTAAAGTCCAGCTTCCTGCCACGCTTCTCCACACAGCCTGGAGGCATCAGAACGTCTGTCGGCACCTCACTGGTCCAACTCCACGGTGTCAAGCTGCAGCTGCAGCTCCAGACAGGAGCAGAACAAAATGTTAGATGTTTCAGGGAACAGCTGACGGGCATCGACTCCTGGGAGGCAAAGAGCTCCGAGCAGGGAGACGAGGAAGGTTTGATGGAGACTCAGAAGGTTTGATGGAGACGAGGAAGGTTTGATGGAGACGAGGAAGGTTTGATGGAGACGAGGAAGAGCTGCTTTCTGATCTGGATGAAGCTACAACCTTTACTTCGTGAATGAGATAAAAGATCCAGATGGTGGGAGTTCCTCCTCCACAGAGAACATCAGGAACCATGGAGGAGCTGGAGAGGAGATCTCCAGAGTCTGAGGAGAGTTCTGGGTCTGGAGGTCCAGGATACACCCTGAGCAGATGTTGAGCCTCCTCAGTGGACTCCTTCAGATGAGGAGCAGCGGTTCTCCTCAGTGATGGAGCTCCATCTCTGAGCAGTTTGTTCATAAATCCTCTGCAGGAACTCAAATAAAAACAACCAGAACTACCAGTTTAAAATCTATTCTGGTTTCTGTGGAAATGAGAAAATAAAACTGAACTTTGACTTCAGAGGTTTTAACTTGGATTTATGAAATGAACCTGGACCAGAACATGAGACCCGTCTGGACAAGAACATGAGACCCGTCTGGACCAGAACACGAGACCCGTCTGGACCTGAACACGAGACCCGTCTGGACAAGAACACGAGACCCGTCTGGACAAGAACACGAGACCCATCTGGACCAGAACACGAGATCCGTCTGGCCCAGAACACGAGACCCGTCTGGACCAGAACACGAGACCCGTCTGGCCCAGAACACGAGACCCGTCTGGACCAGAATCTGGCCCAGAACACGAGACCCGTCTGGACCAGAATCTGGACCAGAACACGAGACCCGTCTGGACCCGGCTCTGAGACTCAAACGCTTCGATCAAAAAAAGCCTCCAAGAAGAAAAATCTGCTTCAGTTCTGAAAACAGAAACCTTTTCTAAACGCTAACACCTGCAGAGTTTGTTCTTCCTGTTCTGAGTCCACCATCAGGGTGCAGAGGGTGGACATGTCCTCATGATGAGGACAAACTGTCCATTAGCCACGTGGACCTGAATCAAACCTGCTGAGGAGACAAAGCGCTTCATGAAGCATGTCCAGCTCTGCTGTAGCTCCTTCCTGTCGTTCTGTTGTAGACCAGCTCCTGGGTTCTGGACTATGGTCCTGTTGGACCCAGTCTGGTCCAAGCTTAAGCTGTTGGACACCAGAACCCTGTGGTCCACTCAGAGACTGACAGGAGCCCGAACCATCAGCCTCCACCACTGTGCTGACAGCTGGGAGGAGCTGTTTGCTGCGGTGCATTATGGGTAAACACCTGTCCTCTGGTCGGGTTCTGGTTCTGGTCCAGAAGTCTTGTGGTTCCTTCAGAGGAACGTTCGTGCTGCCTCGTTGTTTCCTTTGCATCTTCTTGTGTTCACCCCTGAGGTTTCTGTAAAACCGTGTTGCCATGGCAACCTTTTTAAAAAATACAATCAAGATTTTTTTAGTTTTAATTTGGGTTCTTTGTGTCATTCTGCAATTTATTTATTGTCCTGATTGGACCTTTGACCTTTGACCTGCAGACTGAGACCTGTAGAATCTGAGGTGGAGGTCACTGTATGGTCTGACCTTCAGGGTGAATTTCCTGTGAAAACAGTCAGCTGTCTTAAATCATTTCCACTCATCTCCAGATGACCTTTGACCTTTCTCAGATCCATGGGCAGCCTCTGAGGTCCTTGCTGATGGTTTTCCGTCCCGACGTTGTGTTAACACCCACCTGTGTGCTTCAGCAGCAGTCAGATGTCGAGTCTCGCTGCTCGGGCTTTAAAACCGGATGAGTCAGCGCATCTTCAGAGGAATCATCTCCAGCCCTGACTCATCTCTCAACACGAGGCAGCACCAGCGTCTCTGAGGTTAAACTCCTCATCAACACCTCCTTCAGTGGTTCCGTCTCCTCCTCGGCTCGAGGAGAAACCTCAGGAATCAATCCTGAAGCCACAGATCTCATGGTGACGGGACGAAGCGCTCCACGCCTTTCATGAAGCGCTAACCCGCTGCTCGTGGTGCCTTCAGGGACCAACCTTAACGCCTGGAATTGGATTTAATTTGTTGGGGGGGCGGGGATCATGGAGTCCGAGCAGCTCTTTGAAACTCACAAACATGAAAGGAAACCCATCACAGGCCCGGCTTTCATCTCTCGCCTCAGGATTAGAAAGTTTGGGATTTTAAAAATGTAAATCTGAACGTCGGTGACGTGAAAACTAAACATGAAGCCGCTGCAGCTGCTAAAGGTCTGAAGTCCCATCAGGGTCTAATCCAGCTGCAGGACACCGGCCCCCTCCCACAGTGAGACCAGAGCTCTGGTCTGAGATCAGCCTCCTGGAGAGGAAACAGCCAGAGGGGACAGGAGGGAGGCAAAGGGACCAGAGGGGCCCCATGTTTCGGCTGATAAGAGCCGAACATGTCGGGGGAAATCTGCCCGCCGAGCTCAGGAGGTTCTGTGAGTTTCCTCGACTGCTTTCTCAGGAGAAGAAGACTTCCTGCCTCAGAGCAGGTGTCTGATGGGAAAACGCTAACCTGTTAGCACTTCAGCTGATTGTTCAGCTGTGAAACATCAAACAGGAAACTTTGAGACCATTTTCACACAAAGAGCTTCCATCAAAGCTGGTTAGTTCAGATAATTACTCTTCTTGTTGTCTTTAAATAAAAATAAAATAAAAACATCAAAGAGAGTTTGATGTGCTCTGGACCCTGCAGAACCAAACAAGTCCTAGGTCCAGACCCTGTCCCCGGTGCAGGCTGTGGAGAGGAGGGGGTCTGCTTCGGACCTTCAGTCTGACGACGTGGTTCTGTTAGTGCCTTTAAGTCATGACTTGTTCACAAGTGTCAATAGGACGGGGACTTATCAGCAGTAATGAGGGTGCTGCTCTGGTCTGATGTGGTGAAGAAAGCCCTGAGGTGAAAGTCATTAATCACCTGTGGCACCGAGTCGTGGATCCTCACTGAACGACCTGATGTGAGCTTCAAGGCTGGTTTAGACCTCTGGTCTCACGTCGGTGCGTGATGAATGCGTAGCTTCCTTCTCCGCCCGCTGACACGTCGATCAGAACGGTGTTGTGCATGCTTGGCGGTCCACATTGTGTGGCTGGTCAGAACTTTGTTCTTGCAGAACAGAAAAAAGTTCTTCTGCTTGTCATTTAGATGAAGATGATCACTTCCAGAAGCTGATCGTCGTCCAACGTCTGAGAAAACCTTCTGGAGTGAAACGACGACCTCCATCTATCCTGCTGTCGTGGCTGGTGTTTATACGTGTAGCTATCATGTGACGTGTGCTGCTGGGGGTGGGGGTGGGGGTGGGGTGTGTGGGGTGGGGGTGTCAGGATTTATCATTCAACCTTTATTTCTACAGGTAAATCCCATTGAGCCTCGAGGACTCATTTACAAGAGACCTGATTTCAACAAAGAAAGATGACAACAATGGACAACAGCAACAACAATAAGCAGTTATAAAAACTCATACTACAGTTTTTTTATTTTTTTATTTTTTTTTTAACAAATAGGATGGCTAAAAGGAAAAAGGTAACAAAAACAAAAAAACAGCTAGATTCCAAGACAAATGTATAAAACTAAAAACAGGAACATGTCTGCATTGGACCCTGCCAGGAGTCCAACAGATTCTTAAAGCCACTTAGAGAGGTCAAAGGTCGAGAGCTTCAGATCTTTTTGTAAGATATTCCAGGAAACAGGAGCGGAGTAGGAGAAGGACCTTTTGTCTAGTTCAGTCCTCACTGAGGGAACACTGCAGGTAATAATGTCCCGAGAGCGCACGCTGTAGCTGCACTCACACAGAGACATGTAGGAGGAGATGTATGAAGGCAGCAGACCAGGAAGTGATTTAAAGATGAAAATGTACCAGTGAGAGAGTCTGTGTGAAGTTAATGGTGACCAGTTAACCAGTGAATACTGGGTGCAGTGGTGGGTACGATAATCACAGCCAGTTATGAATCTTAGTGCACCATGATAGACAGCATCCAACATCTGCAGCATCCAACATCTGCAGCATCCAACATCTGCAGGGTTCTTGTAGGAGCGTTCATGTAAATAATGTCACTGTGATCAATGGAGGGAAGGAAAGTCACAGATACAAGGTGTTTTCTAGCATTCAGGGTTAGACAGGATATTTATGCCCCACGTCTGCTCCTCGTCTGTGAACGCTCCGTGAAACAAAGACGTCTGAAACTGTGTGAAGACAACTCCACGTCTTGTTGAAGCATGAACCAAACTTCAGCGAGGAGCCCCATTATCGAGGGGGGAGTGGGGGGGGGGGTCTGCTCCTTCCATCATGAGGAGGAGTCAGCTGAGGGGGGTCGTCAGCAGCCTGATGATACTCAGTAAACCTTAAAGTGTCTCCTCACCTCTGACTGTTAAGGAATTTACAGATTATTCTTGATTATTCAGAATAAATAATCCAGAAGGGCCTCTGTGCCCCCCCCCCCCCCCCGAGCTTCCAGAGGATTTTAAAGACTCATCCGCAGCTCCTAATGAAAATTGATCTGTAGCTGATTAACAGGCTCTTCCTGAGGAATCAGTCAGACGATGATGCTGCTGCAGAGTCCTGGGTGTGTGTGTGTGTGTGTGTGTGTGTGTGTGTGTGTGTGTGTGTGTG